CCTATGAGATCTGTATTTTTTTACAGCAAATATTGCTTGCTTTGCTGTTAAACCTAAATAATAAGCACTCATATAACGATGTGCTCTTCGCGCATATCGTCTAATCTGAATTAATGATACAGATTTAAGTACATTTGATACAGTTTTTTGTAAACCATCAAAGGAATAATCACAATGTCTGCGTGTATATTTTTTTGCCTGGCCCCAATAATTTTCTATATAATTAAGCTTGCAATGAAATTTTGGATAAAAGATAACTTTGTGTCCTGCATCTTCCACAATTTCTTGAAGCAAAGATCGTTGGTTTGCAAAATCTGGCTCTAATGACAAGATTTGAATTGCGCAACAATTAGTATTTTGAGATTGTCCTTTGATACATTCTTTACAAATTTTTTTAAGCCCTTGTGTATTGTATCCTCTTTCATTTAAAACCACTTGTAGACCTTTTGGCATTCCATTATCAAATACCATAGTTTGTAATGTTCCATTACGCATAATAGTAGTTCTCATTTTTGGTTGTTTTCCTCCTGAAGAAAGATTCATTCTTTTTGCCAATAATGCATCATCAGCGTATGCACCATGATTGGTACTATTATCAAATGCAAAGATTGCAATACAATTTGGATGCATTGCATTAAATATTGGTATTGCTTTTTCTTTAAGTTGTTTTGCAACATCTTTACTTCTTCAATAACCATCTCGATTGTTTCCTGAACGTATAATAGTGCAAGCACACTCTGGTATTTGTTGATCTGGCGGAAGCAATAAATTTTGTGCTTGTTTTTCAGAATCTAATTGTAGTCGTCCCAGTGTATCACACAAATAGTCACTGACCATTAGACTACTGCCTGTAGATTTTGAACGAAGTGGTTGTTCGTCATCTGGTCCCCAAAATTCTTTTCTGCCATCATTTGAAAAGAATGTTGATTCATCATGTGTTACAAGAATGTGTAACTTTTGATTTGTTGCTAGTTCTGGACCAATTTATAAAGTAAGATCATTTGACCATTGTGGCATAAATTGTTCAAAATTTGTCATTTGCTGCAGAAATGTGTTTTGATATTCCACTACATTATCCCGTTCATGACCGTCATAATACAACCCTTTCTGGTACCTTTTCCATTGCCATCCTAATTGCTTTAACCATCTTC